TATTTGAAGGCTCTGCAATGCAACAGCGAGAACGTACTTTGCAGCTGACCTCCGCGTCAGCTTCACTTCTACGCCAGTCGTGAGTCAGCATCTCAAGGACAGGTTGCCGAGGTCGAATATTTCCTTCTGTGTGTACCATTTTTCTTGCTCGTGTCGAGCAAGTTATATTGGAAAGACGACCAGGAGACTGTCTGAGAGAGTGCGAGAACATTGCCCGGCGTGGCTCTACACTGGTGTCAGAAAGACAGTAGTCAACGCGGTGTTGGGGCATTTGGCCGACACAAATCACCAAGTGAATGTGCAAGAGGCCTTCCGGCCTATCTACAGGATATCTGGACGCCACAGGCGAGCCCTCCGATGTCGCCTATTGGTGACAGCGGAAGCAATCGCTATTCGGCTCCATAATCCCGAATTGTGTGCCCAAAAGAAGTTTGTACATGCTCTACAGTTGCCATGGCCTCAAGCTTCCCCATGTTACGACACCACGCCTGACCCTTCCACTAACGATGCCCAAGCCAGTGTGGCCACTTGATCGCATTAACCGGTCAATTCACTTCATTGATTCATTGTATTTAAATACCCTGTGTTTTGATTTATTCCTATCATCTGTGGTGTGTTGGCCTGATGCGATCCACCGAAAACAAGCTTGTTCGCCTAACTGTCTTTTGATTCTGATGTCATCTCAGGGATTATTTTCTCAATAGCATAACTGAAGAAAATACTGAATACTGTATTATAGAGCAAGTAGAAATGGATTCTGTACAACTCTTTCGAAATATTGTGAAAAACATTATAATAGTTGTCAACCGTGAATATCCTTGTCGTTCTCATGTAATATTTAAAATATTCGACTTACGATATTTCAGGATTCACAAATGTGATATGTCATCGTAAGTATGCAGTCGTTCTCTGAATCGAATAGAGGCAAAATGCACATCTAACAACCTTTTGAACTGTTGCACAGATGTTGCCTCAATCACATGTTCGGGCGAACTATTCCAAATGTTTACCACTCTCCGTTCGAAGCACAGTGGGTGGGGAACACGTTTCATATCCGGCACAACAAGTTCGTATCTGTGTCCGCGTGTGCTGCATGGCCCTCGTAAGTGCAGCATTGGCCTTAACATGGGGAACTCACCGAGATGTAGAATTCGGTAGGTCATAATGAGGTCGACTCGTAACCGACGGTAGGACAAGGTGTAGAGTCCTAGTTTCTCGCACCGGTCTTCATACCCAAAGCCACGTAAACTCGGGATCAGCCTGGTAGCAACGTGTTGGACCCGTTCGATCGTTTGTGCCTCGCCTCGGGTAATCGGAAAGTAGGCGGGCGAACCGTACTCTAGCATTGGTCTAATGATAGAAGAGAACAAGCGAGTGGCAACCTCTTCAGACCATGTGCAGAAGCTACGTTTGAGCGCCCAAAGCATGCGCAGTCCGTTCCGATATAGCCTGTTCGTGTTGTCCACGGACTTCAAATCGTAGCGTAAGAGTACACCTAGGTCCTTCACGGAGGGTGTGGGAAATAGCGTTTGGCCGTCAAGGGTGTAGGTTCGGCCGTTAGCACCCTTCCCCAGGCTCATAAATACCGACTTGGCTGGGTTGACCGGGAGAAGAACTTCTGCAGACCATGTGGATAAGCGGTTGAGATCTTGCTGAAGTAGGCCACAGTCATCGGGAGCGTCGATTTCTCTCCAAATCTTCATGTCGTCCGCAAACAAGGCACACGGCGACCGGAGAAGCTGCGGTAGGTCGTTGATGTGGATCAGGAACAGAGTGGGTCCCAGCACAGTGCCTTGAGGCACGCCACTTGTAGAGGGGTACCAGTCAGTTAGATGGTCGTCGACCTGTACCCTCCACTTTCGTCCAACAAGAAAGTCGCGGATCCACCGGTGCAGTGAGCCACCGACGCCACATAATATGATATCCAGTGAAGACTGTTGAATCCGCGGCAGATTAAGTAAAAGCGGTGTTCCAGTGAAATGGCAACAGCCGATTTAAAGGCCCCGTCGTCACGTTGGCTGCAGGTGGAAAACACTTCAGCTCTTGTGCCGCAATACAAAAGAAAAGAAAAACATGAAACAAACGCGCCAGCTGAGCCATCAATAACGAATGGACATCGTTCTGGAAAGTTAACAGCCGGCTATTGTGCTACAAAAAAGGAGTTCTGTTATACTTAATAAATGAGATCGTGGTTGGAGGGGGAGGCTGAATGGGGTGGGGAGTTACAAAGAAACTCACAACAGGAACGCCCCTGAGGTCGGCTCCAAGCCATGTCAACAAGTGTATCTAGCCAAACGGGTTCATCGTCTTTTGGACCCCAACCAGGGATTTGTGAAGCTCCAACCGAGGCCAACTCCGAAGTGAGGGCCTTCATTCCTCTCAACCAAATCATCGCTTGGCCACCCCTCCACTTCTTCCATCCACACCTTTGGTGAGCAAACAACTCACCTCGCTGAAGTCGGTGTGCTGGTATCCGCAACGCGTGATCCAGCCACCGGAGCCTGGTGCGTGAAATAACGGTGCTGAGGGGTTCGCTTTTTCTTCCTGCCCCATAAACATGGCATCGAACTCACTCATTACTCACACGGTGTTCCCACCGGATATGAGCCAAGCTGCGAAGGCACCGGTGGTCGAACGTAACTAGTCTCTTTATCTCTGCTCATCTAATGGGTCAGGTTTCACAGCCCAATTTTGTACTACTTCTATCTGATCTCCACCAAGGGTCACCGCAGGAGGCTGTCCCTGCCAGTATTAGAGGACAGCTTTGCAATTTAAGGGTGCAAATCGTAAGCCGAAACGATTGACAGCCAATGCCAATCGGTCCAGTGCAGCTTGGCACTTCTGGGAGCTGTTACAGATGAGGGCAATATCGTCAGCATACTCGAAGTCATAAAGGCGTTCATCTGGGAGGAACTCCACCTTGTAGGTCGTGTCCTGTGAACGCGATCTCCATGACGTCGTCAATAGCGAAGTTGTAGAGCAAAGGTGACAGCGGGCATCCCTGTCTCACACCACTGGAGATATTGAAGGGCGGCGACAGTTTGCCGTAAGCCCTCACTCTGCTCGAACTACGTGCGTATAACGCTGAGATAATATTTACCTATTTCTCGGGCACATCTTCTTAGCAGACAGCCCAAAGGGCACGTTGATCCACCTAATCGAAGGCACCTTTGATGTTGAGAAACATGACTACGGTATGCTTTCAATATGTGTGACAGTGCTCCAATAATGGACGTAAAGTGAAGATGCGGTCGATGCAGCCACGACCCCGACGAAACCCGGTTTGCTCCTCACGAATCTGGTTTGCACGGTCGCCAGTCAGTCTGTTAAGGATTACAGAGACAAGTAATTTGGAGGCAATGGGGATCGGACTAGTTCCTCTGGTTGCCTCATTCCGAACGCGAGCCTCCTTTGAAGAACGGGACAATAACGGAGAGGCACTAGTCATTTGGGACAGTTTCCTGCTCCCACAGTTTCACTAGTAATGCGTGTAAATCAACCACAAGAGTAGGGTGCGCGAATTTGAAGAGGGCTGGATGAAGGTCATCTGTTCAAGCGGCTTTACTCAACTTCAACAGTCCGATCTCATATTCCACTTCAGAGCGAAGGGCGGATCCAATGACAGCATAGGCAGCAGAAAGATCAATGGCCGGTGAGGAATCTAACAATTCCGGCCGATTAAGTTGCTTTACAAAATGCTCAGCCCAACGCTTCAAACGTTTTGACAAGTTGTGGTTAGGCTGTCCACTCTCGTCATAAATAGTTTCATTAACACCAGGCCGGTTTCCTTTGTCAAACGGAATAACTTTCGATGGTTACCAAGGGCACCGACCACTTCCATCTCTGACGCACGATGCGATCTCGGGAGTTACAGTGATTGTAGCATCTCCTTCTGAACCTAGAGCACATAAACCACAAAGCTCTTTGGGTCGGAACACATTACTGTGTAAGCGATGCTGATTAGGCTACGGTAAAGCGATGCAGATTTCGGCTTGTGCTGCGCACCCTCAGAATGAAAGCTACTTTTAGGAAACAAGCTCGATGCGTAAGCTTTTGCCACTGAGCAATTACTTGAAGTGGTCATTTGGTTAAGTGATCTAGGTAGCTGAATCGCTCTTGATAATTGAATCATCTCAGCGAGTGTGGAATGCAATTCTAAATTTCGTGCGGCTTTTCAAAGCCTTTATCATTCATGGAAACACTGAGATTTGTCTCTCGGTTAAATCCGCCATGTGCAACGCCACCGCTTGGACCAAAGACGAGACCACCTCACGCTGATCACATTAAAACAGGCTGATCATGTTTGATCATAGACTTTTGTGAGGTATCATCAGATCAGTTGCTGTATATAGTACCAGTTGTTGTCTAACACCAAACCCATTGCGGCGTCTGTTAGGCCACAGTCATCTACTCTGGCTGGATCATTTTCCTCGTGTGCTTGCTGATCGGATTAATGGCGTACATTAGACCTGTTTGGGTTTTCACCCAAACACTACGAAGCTGCCGGTCGACGGTATGGTAATGATGCATAAAGAAGTTGAATGGGGTTCTCCGGACCGAGTACACCACTGCCATCCGTGTTAAAAAAATTTTCGGATATCGTACAGCCGCGAAGTTCCTAAGGTTTCGCACTTCCTCCCCTGCTTTGGACCCGGCTCTTCCATCACATGCTTTTCGTGGTTTTTATTCTTGTTTAACTATCTTTCCGCATTATTTCCACCTTTTAGTATTATTATTATATAATGGTGACGTGAATTAGAGCATTCGATCTACAGTACTTTGTTACACGCAACATATGAAATACCTGTCCTTTTTGAAACTCACTCGTAATCTTGTTCGAAGAGTAAGGAAAAGCTCCTACGTTTGGTATTTCACAATTAAATCGCTCATTTATCCGGATTTAGCTTTTTGTCCCGTTTGCCACTCAGACTGGCTTGTCCAATGTTCCGACTCACTGTACTTGTCCCCATTCTCTTCGTTTACTCTCTTCACTTATCTAGTGCTCCCACTGTGTCGGTGTGGATTGATCATACATCTCCGCTCGCTACTTCTGACACTGGTCCCAAGTTAATTGACCCAACCGATCGATTGCCGGAAATGAAAATCCCTCGCCGACCAGTAGGCTGTTTTGCCAGATTACGCTCTTTACTCCATCATACCCGCAAGTTAAAGAAACAGACGAAGTCTTCCACCGTCAACCCAATACTTCAGTCGGCAGTTGAACCAACACCCGGTGACCTGGTCGCTGTGCCGACAAACGCATCATCAGCTACTCCGCTTTCTGGTGCCTCAGGAGAGCATACTGCGTCGGTCAAAGGTGCCACAACAGCGACGAAACTGGCGCTTTTGGTCAAAAAATCCGGCGAATTCTACTCCACATTACTTGATCCTTCCTCAGCGCTGCGCGATTCGATCGTTCGATACTTCGAACAGTCATGCGAAGTATTGGTACTCGATAGCCGCCTTGCTGCATGCCCACTGGAACAGGTAACCGATCCAAACTTGAAAAATACGGATCTCGCAGTTCAAGTACTTGTCGTTGCAACACGCTCAGACCTTGTACAACGTTTATCTGACGCATGCAAGCCAAACATGCACTTAGAATCTACTACTATCCTCCCCCCAGCGGTCCCGTTCCCCGTCTCTAGGCTAGCGAACGAATTAAGACAAATCATAATCCAGTCAGGCGCTCTCTCTTTTTTGAAACTTCAAGATCTGCGTCTGTATGTAGGACTAGATTCCAATGAAGTTTGTATTGCAATCGAAGAGTTGAATGACCTTGTCGAGTGACTCATGCATAACCGTCCCTATGAACCGCATTTCATGATGCATTCATAGTCTGTACATTTTGAGCAGACACCACAACTGACCACTTTGCCCCATTGCATACATTTCCATCGTTGGTAACATCTGAGCCCACACTTTGCACACTGCTATTGCGCCAACATCACTCCACTGAAGTGTGCACCGCGTGGTCACACCTTGTCTTCTGTTTCCCACCGGAAGACTACTGATTGTGACACCCATGTAGTGTTTCTTACCATCATCCACTTTTCACTTACCCTGCTGTATGCGCTTCCAAACAGACACGATGCAATACCATTCCGCTCGGCTGTCCCATCGTGTCTTTGCTCCACTTAGTAACCGTTATATTCGCATTTTGTCTATCATCCCCTCGTGTTGAGCTGCCCACCTCATAGCTTGCATCTATCGGAACCAAGTCACGCGCATGTGGGTGAAAGTCACAACTGTTTCTGAAGCGGTCCGCAATCTTTCAACGTGTCTATCATTCTTGGATATGTGGATCCATTTGACAGTAGCTGTCATGTCGCCACCGCCTGTTCGCATCCCATGACTACATTGAGTATACGGAAGACGAGCCAAGACAGAGGTGTCTACATGAGAAATCTGTTTCAATTAAGTGGGGTACAGTAGTAGGTGAAGCAAAGCTACTAACACACGTTGGAGCCAACCAACAACATAGGAGACACTGAGTACTTGGCCAATGAGAAGTGGTAGAAGTAAGCACCAATCATGTGTGTCCGAGGAAGCAATATTAGAAACAGTGAGACCCCAGGATGGCATCCACTAGGAACGACCTTTGATAGCCTACATCAGTAAACAAACGAAAGCCGATAACTAATTATGGTCACAAAGTATATGTGTCCAGTACACATCCTTCTAACAGTAGCACAGGGTGAAGGCAACGCTCAGATACCACGGTCGCATAACACGCCACGAACCAACTCGCGCATTGCGTTAACACTTAACTCGCGTGAGATCAGTGCATGCTAGTCACTCGTATATGTAAAGTTTATGGTAACATAAATACTAAAATTTCGTGAGATAATCATTGGATTGTGGTGTAATTAATGAACAAACCGCTCTTTCTTTTTCGTCTTCTTGAGCGACGACTAGCATTATTGTCTTGATACGCGTAATCGAAGTTCCGGCACAAGACGGTCAGCGCTTTCGTGGTTCGTACACAGAAGTAACATCGCGCTTGGAAATAACTATAAATCGAGCATCAGCGCATTCGGCTATTCAGGTGTTGCTCGACTACATCTATCAGACACCTTGATCCCAAGGTAAGCACTATGACAATAATAGTCAAATCATTGTGTTCTCTGCCAAACCCTACGGAGCTCATTTCCTGAAAGTTACGTGGTTAGTTGACCACACCGTTAGTAGATGGTTACTGCTGCGATGCGAGAACTTCGCAAACATGAGAAAATTCGTGCCTAGAATGTGCATACCTTAACGCTATGTACATGGTCACCTATTAGTGAAACCCCATGGTGGTGTTGATAAAGCCACCGGATACGATTGAACCCGCACAGATTACGAACAAAACCACGGCGAAACAAGCGGATAAACCAGGGTATGGTGAGTATTGCAACCGATGCATCGATTCACATTTTCAAGTTCATACAACGGGTACAATGTACTGAATAATTTGGTAAAGACAAGCTCAGTACGAGCCAGTTGGGTAAATTCAGCTATTGTTTTGTCGACAAAAATAATCCAAAATACTAGAGGGATGGCAACCAAATCCTCATCATCAAAACAAAAGACTAACGGTTGAACAGCTCCCACCGTTATGTGACGCCTTCGGATTCTCACATGGGACAGTGCTTGTTAACCGTCAGTAGGTCGCATCGACGCAGCATTGATCTGCATTTAGACACGATGTGTACAGGTAGCAGTGAGAAGCAGCCGACCAAAAGGTATGGGTTGTGAAATTGATGTGGGTGCGCAATTGAATCTGACACCGTCCCATTTCCCAGTGGACTCATCACTTCGAAGGCATCCAACTGACGTATTATCTAATTTGGAGACCATTTGCATCGCTGATGGTGAGAATGGCATATGGGGCTCATATGTTGTAACCACCGATCATAAAGAGGCACGTAATCTGCCGAGGTTTGGTCGTACAGTTCAACTCTCTGCCTACTGCAGACTATGAACCCAGAAGTAGGAAATATTCGAAAATTGGAACACCGTAAACTGCTGGGACCGAAAAGTCGAAACTAACAATGCACTCAATCGGAGAGCTGTCACACTGACAATCACATACATTAGACTATCCTCTTGTTTCAACGTGGTCGACGTCCTTGTTTTTCCCCGAAGGTAAAAGTAAGCTGCAGCTGCCCGTTCTTTTTATTAAGCTAACACCTCTCCCAGGATGGTCTGGACGCCGCAGAAGCCATCGCCATTCGGCTGTACGAACCAGCACTGTGCACGCAGAAAAGGTTCACTCACGCGTTGAACCTACCTTGGCCAGGACGGACTGCAGTTGACCTGTACGCACGTACGACTTCAACTGTAACCTAACCGACGGTTTGTCACAGCGCACTTGAATCAATTTGGCTGACTGACGACCCGTTGGGTCTGTATACAAAAATTTTGCCTTTCATGTAATTGTATAAGCCTGATGAAGAATTACTGAAAACATATGTTCACTTACACAGACTTCTGATCTAACAATGATACAGTTGGGCGATGATATATTGCATGTAAATAGCGCACGACAACATGTCCCGTCGGATGCTATGGTTTGGAATTAAATGGAAACTTACAAAATGCCGCACGAATCGTATTAGTTAATACAAACTGCGGAGGAAATGCAAAATTTAATCACCTGCACTGCTTTCCTCAGACTCGTGTGGTCCATAATCCAAAACAAAATTTGCTACATGGGTGCACCCCTGAGTGTTACAGGTCAAATATGTGCGAAGACACAAGTGCAGTATCGTGCCGCTTTTTAAAGATAACCAGTGCAGAAGCGCAAACGATTGACTTTGTAAATGTGTCCCAGAGTTCACAAACTCGTTGGGTCTCGACATGGGCAATTTGTCACAGATCGTTCAACAGGCAGCACTTGCTCGAACACTAGAGGCTCTATCGACTGATATCTGTTGTTTGTCGGAAAACCGCCTGCAAGACTCGAGCTCTGCGTTCAAACTGCGATACTTCACATGCAATACTGGCGACACTTTCTCATTGCGCCTGTTCGGAGATAATACAGCTTCAAATGTTGGTCAAGCCGGCGTGGACATTTCTCTGAGATCCTGGGCTAAGTTTGATCTGGTAGATTGGGTCCAAATCAGTAGCCGGACGTGCACCGCCCTACTAGCTGCTCTTCAAAGCTTCGAATCGCCCGTGACCAATGGGTGACTGTCTGTTATTGCTGCCTACGCCCCCACAAACTGTAGCTCTGACTCGATGAAAGATGACTTCTAGCATTAAATGAGACTGAGACTGTATTTAAGAGCAAGTAGAAAGGTTACTGTACAACTCTATCGAATTACGGGAAATCAGAAACATTTAGTTGTGAAACATCAGCGGTTGTGCCTGGTCAGTTAATCGTTTATCCTTGTTCGGTTAGGAATTTGTATTGGAGTCATTATTTCCGGGCATACGATGTCTTCTTTTGGCATTGTATGTGCATCGTTTCAACAAAAGCACAGGTTTCCGAAATAATCGTCGATACGTGTTTTAAAACACTTCACAGAATCGGCCTCTATTAACCCTTCTGGTAGTGTATTCCATAAGTTTACGATTCTTCGTTCGATACAATGCTGTTGTTCATGCAGGGGACCCTGAGTTTGTAACGGTGTCCTCGGGTGTTACAGGGTTCTCGCAGGTGAAATATTGGCCGCAGTATGGGGAAGTGATTTAAGTGTAGTACTCGATGGGTCATAATAAGGTCAATTCTTACTCGGCGGTATGGTAGTGTGTGGAGTCCGAACCTTTCACAACGATCACATCACGATCAGTTACCGTTGGAGATGTGTCCAAAACTGTCGCTCGATTTGGAGCACAAGCGTGGATCATGCACTCTGGTGCATTTTGGTGGACGCCTGCAACTACGTAGATACTTGCGTAGATACTTGCCGACTGGCAAAGCCAGATGTTCTGAATGCGTATCAGAGTGCACCAGCATTCGAGCTGAATAAATGTTCACTGAACAAAGTTGAAGATTGCTGGTCGTATAATCGCCCGGTCTTACAGGCATCAAGTTTGTCTCCAATTGGTACATCTGGTTGTCAACCTGAATATTGGGTCTCTACATGGCATATGGAACATCTAGATGGCCTCCGAAATATTCCTGCTGGGAACGAAGACGACGAGACTCTCTAAGACCTCAAGGTAAGACTGCGCGCTAGTCTGAAGAGAGTGAGTACGAAGCCTGGTGGTCTCGTCGTGCGTCGAAGATGGAAACAGACATAACTCTTGGTAACCATCGGTGTAGAGGATATACGGAGGCCCTAATGTTTAGATTCCAAACATGTTAACTCTGTCCTGTGGTTATGATCACCAAACCCTATCTCTAAACCCCCGTTAAGTCCTTGCCTTCCCATGAACATCGTGCACAATTCGTTTCAATTTTCAATAACCCACACTACACCCTTCTTCCACACCGATTATTATATGTTAAGCCATAGTTCCGCATCGATTAAGATCATCTCTCTACTTCATCTTCTGCACCAGTGCGTTTTTGAGCCCATTTCTGAAAGTTCCAAACAAGCCGACCTTGCTCCCCTTAAGTGCTCCCCACCCTCGTCCTATTCGTGCAATCAACCAGTCCCATCATCTTGTTTGAGTTATAAAAGCGTGCATTGTGGTTCCGCCACTTTGTACCCCGGTCACTCTGAAGCCTAGCTTGTTGGCTCTCGGATCGAAGCACTTGGAAGCGTTACTGTTTAGGTATGCATTCTTAATGCTTGCTTATCGGTTTGTAAATAGTACCGTTATTCATTCACGGCTTTGTTGTTCATTTGACCCCG